GTATGATTTCACGGGAATTTCATTGGGAAATTATATACATATTTTGATGGGGATGGGGGATGGGGCTGGGGGGAATCTTTCGACCTGACTCCAATTTAAATACCAAAAACAACAGCTCAATTAATCATTGTCTGCTCAATTTTTCATTGTCACCGAGGGGCATGCACCAGTAGGATGACAATTTAGGTTGGGGTTGGGTGTCCCCTCCTCTCTCCCATGGGCCCCTGGATGTAGATCTGGCTCTGGCCTATTTCATATTTGATAAAGCACTTCGTTTGTGTCCTGTCCTCTCTGTCTGTCTCTCTGTCTGTCTGTCATCCATTCTGTTGCCATATTCCCGGATACATTAGGCGGACCCTCTACCTCGCCCTTGCTTCAAAATTTTCATCCGTTTTTCATCCCCCAGTCGCTGCTCCTCTCCCCTGGATGTCTGTCATTCTATTCATTTTCAAAAATTTCTACCTGAGAGTGAGAGGCAGTGGCTGTTCGCTCTATTGTTGCTGAAGTGCCACGCGCTGGCTGGTGGCACAACAGAGAAATCTCCTCTAACAGAATGCTTCATCGCCTTTGATGAAGTGGGCTTTGCATATAGGGATTTACAGAGAACCCTTCCCGTCCCCGGCATATGGGATGGGTGGCGCTCCCTGTTTTCGGCTAAACGTTTAAATAGTTTCCTTTCATTTGCATAATATTCTAGGGGTTGTGCCCGCAGTTCTTGGTAAAAAATTTTGTAATTTAATAATCTTTATTTTTTTGGGGGAATTTTCTGGTAAAGGATGTGAAGAGTTTTTTGACCCTGCTAAATGAGTTTTGTGTGGGGAAATGTGTGGGAAAAGGGTATAGAATGAGGGAGCATCTCTTAGGACTTAAAAACCATTAGAGATGAGATTGAGGAGCTTTAAATCCTACTTTTCAATGTCTTCTAAATATTTAGGGTCTCTTTCTTTATAGCTGTTAAAGAGCCACCTCCCTAGAGCTCTCTAAAGCACCTTCCTTCGCCTCCTAACCCATCACCCACAACTTTCATTTCGCTGCCAATTTAGTGGCCCTTAAAAGCATTTAATAGCCCCCCATTCAAGCACAATAAAATCTCATACAAATTCTTACTTCCTTGTGGAATATTAAATCTAAAACGTAGCCCGAATGAGTGGAAATTATTCGAAAAATGGCCATAAATTGATTCGAGTTTGGGTCTCGTACTCGTAAAACGGAATTCGAATTGGAATTCGAAAGCGCGTGAAAGAAAACGATGCCAAAGTTTTGTTTGTGCGGGTGAAAAGCGCCTGTCAATAAAATATGGAAATATGAATTTTAATTGCATGCCACGGCCATGGGGCATGGGGCATGGGGCAGGGGGCAGGCCAACCAAAGTGGAAATCAATAGAGCGGAATATCAATAAGCCATACCCGCAAAGAAGAAAGCAAACATATCATCCTCAAAAGACAATTAAAGGTTCATTAGGCAAGTTTTTCTTTCTTTCTTTGTTTTTTTTTTTTTGGGGCTTTGGGTCGAGCGTCAAGTCAACAAATAAAAGTGTCGTAATTTATGCATTTTGTGGGTTTTCGATCTTTTATGAGCTACGAGCTGCGAGCTACTGAAACTTGTTAAAAAACTGTTGCCAGCAGTTAAAAATCGAATAAACTAAGGCATGGAGACGGAGGCTGGGGGGGGACTGGGGACTGGCTGTGGCTACGCCTTGAGTTCTGGGGTCTTCTCTTTTTGGGGCTAAGACACAGCCCGGCAGGTGGTCGCTTGGCGTTGACTTTTAATCGATTTTAAATGACTTTAATATGGCCAGAGTTGGGCTTGCCCCAAGGTGGATGCTCCGCGGGGGCGTGTCGCAACTTTTCCTTTCCTGTTCCACCGATACTCGATAGTGCAATTTATGGGCTTACCTTTCAATCAACTTTATAGCTAATGCATCTTTCGTGCCCTTTTTGGAGCCTGCCATGACGCATCCATCATTTGTTGTATGCTCTGCGCATATATAAATATAAATCAGACGAAACAGAAACAGAAACAGAAACATTCCAGCATCAAGTATTCATTTATGCCGAAATGTAGAGCTATGCATGATCGTCTATTCAGCATATTGTATCGAATTTTATCTTCGCTTTTAATTAAGTGACACTATGAAAAATAAAACAACTTCGGACCAACTTTGTTTTGATTAATCGCGGGATTGGGCCGCATTTCGAATGGGATTTTACACGCTCCAAGAGCCGCTGCAGAAGCAGCTCCTCGATTGAAATGATTTTGTTTCGTTTTCGGAGAGAAGGAAACGCTGCCAAACAAATTGTAAATGATTTATAAGGCCCAAAGATCGGCTCGCCGTGGGCTTGTTACCCCCGAATCTATGGGTTTATTAGCGGCCCAGAAGCGGGTTATGCAAATCGCGTACATTTCGATAATTTGTTTGGTAGTCAACTCCGTCAACTGATTAGCAGATGCCATAGATACAGATACACCGTATACCCCGTATGCTCTGTGGAGTAGCCAAAGCTCTCCGTTTTCATAGCTAATTGCAATTAAGATGCCGCTGTGGAGATAACCCCCGAGGAGGTGAGAATTAAATGTATTTGTGAGTCGAGTTTCGGGGCAGACGATGTTCAATTTTGACTAAACACGGGGCAATGGGGCAATGGGGCACTGGGGGAGCGAGGTGTGTTCTCTGGAGGTTTGAGAGGTTATAAATGACAAGAGATCGTTAAAATTGGTTAACAATCATTTGGAGCTTGGATTAAATACTCCTGAATGGAGAATTCAGAGATCAATGAAGTCTTACATCAATTTAAAGAAATTTTGTTAATGAATTTGTTTAATTTTCGAAAGAAATTCAGCCCTTAAAGAGTGCAGTGTGTGGAATATTGTTAGAAAATAATAAATTTGAGAAACTTTTGGGCCCTAAAGAGGCAATACAGATTTCAGCGAATACCAACAACTAATTAGGCCCTAAAATCATCCTTATTGAGGTTGTTTCTGGCTCTCTTGGCCCTTGCCTGATTCAGTGTTCCCTTCCCAAATGTATCCCCAAGTCCACACATCGTTAGCCATAACTCAGGGCCAATCAGCCAGACCATTTGTCACTGTACATCATCCACATGACGGTCACACCCAAGGAACCCAATAATCGCCTGGCACAGGCTAGTTATAAGATCATTAGCCATATCCCTCTCGTTCCCAGGCGAACAATCGACAATTGTTGGACCAGAAATCCTCCTGCTCGTTGAAGATAATAACGCGTAAAAAGCAAATAAAATTATTGTCAACACATTCGGTTATTGTGCAACGAAAAGTCAGCGGCGCCTGCGCAGCTGTTGGAAACCACTCCCCGCCCCTAGCCAGAGCCTTACACTACCTTCGCGTACCTTACACCCAAATAAGAGGGTGCGTGCCGGTTCGGGCTCGGGATTATAGATGAGGGACAGGCATCCCAGACAGCCCAGACATGGCGTGTTGCACATCGCGTAGCGGGTAATTAAAATAATTTCCACAATGAAATGTTGTTTTTTTTGGTCTTTTTCAAGGGCGACCATGTGTGGTACACATTTGGGTCGGAACTTCAGGGGGTGGAAAGACCCAAAACCCAAACCTAGGGCGAAGCCTGGGCCTAGGACAATGTGATTGCCGGAGCGTTATGTAGAGCATGTCGGGGCGACATAAAAAAAGCCACCGAAAAATCCCACATCCTGTGCGAAAAGTCCTTGACAGCGGCACAACACCCACTCTCTCGCAACCTTCTGCACGGTACGAGTACTTTGTGCTCTGTGTGCTCCGTGCCAAATAGCTTGAATATTAAATATTTTTGCTAATATCATTAAAAAGTTTTCACTTTGTGCAACATTCTCTTCTGTGACGACGCTTTGTGCCTGCTGCTGCCACACAGCAATTAAAAAGTGAAAAGTTGACAATTTTCTCAGGCTGCAGTTGCCACTTCCACATCCCCATCCCCATCCTCTCCTCTGGAGCTGTCCAAAACGTTGTTCCGTTCGTCATCTTTTGTGGCTTTCGCCCCTGCTGTGGGGGCTTCTACTTTAATTAGCAGAAATAAATTGTAGGAATTTCTGCGTGATTATGCCAGTGGAAGGAGTAGGAAGCTCCTTTTAATGTTGGCTTTTCGGTGAGATTTGGGAGGTAACGCTGGGCTGGCCGACTACAAAGGCAGCCAATTAATGCGGCACCTAATGGCCTCAGACCTTGTAATTATCGACGTTTTGGGGGGCTATGCATGGCGATAGATCGGAAAAAGGCTTACAAGTCAATTGTTGAATTAAGAATGGAATAAACCAGATGTAGAACGTGTGTAACAGCCAGAAGGAAGCGTTTCCGAGCCCCTAAGGTATATATATTCTAGATCTGCACTTATATCAGAGTCGATAAGACCTAGGGCATCGAGACTCGTGTGATATTACACAGTCCACAATGTACAATACATATATATATTCTGAATAGTGGATTTAAAGTAGAGCCTCGGCCCTTGCCGCTGCTCACAACGCTCCCGCTCGCTTTTATGACAGATTGAAGTTCGGCGGAGCAAAAGGAACAAAGGGGAAAACCTTTGCTAATTTAGAGCATTCTTTTCTTTTAAATCTTTGATAATTATGGATTACCTCAGACTTTTTCCAAAGTCGAATTCGATGATTTTTGTATGATATTCAAGGAAATAATTGTAGGAACACAATATATATCCCATAAAATATGTCTTCCTATTGCCATTTAATCCCCAGAGAGATTAATCCCCACAGAGAAAGTTCTTTATTTCTTTAGTTTTTACGATCTCTGGTCACGCATAAAGCGGAGCCCTGAATACTTCATTAGCCCCCATAGGAGGCGGCACAAACGTTATTTACGCCACAAAACCAATTGAATAATTCACTTTCAATGACCCATAAATATTTCCATGTCCTTCACTGACGAAACAGAAATCAATTTAACCTTTTTTTTCCCTCTTCTATTTGCAGAAATCCACACAAAGCAAAAAGAAAATAAAAACCCAGGAAAATGTATTAAACTCTGGATCGAGGAACAAAGGAAACGAATCCATGAATAATTCAAAAGTAAAGTGTAAAATCCACAAGTAATAGTTATAGAGAGAGAGAGAGAGAGAGACAGCGAGAGAGAGAGAGAGAGGTAGAGAAGCAGAGGAAACAAGGACGAGAGTCAACAATTAACTTGGCCAGAAGCAAAGCCAACGCGTGCCCCACCAGAATGGCGGCACGACGTTGCCACTTGGCCCGCTCCCGCGACGGGGGGCCGCTCCGGCAACGTACTGCTTGCAACAGACTCAAACTATCCTCCTGCGCGATAATTGTGGTAGTGGTCCACCTGCTGGCCGTCTCCCAGGCCGGCAGCGAGGAGGAGACCAGCTTTGCCGGCCTCTCGGCGGAGAATGCCGCCCGGATGCTGGCCGGGAGTCCCGGCGATGCGGAGAAGAGCTCCCCCCATCACAGCGAGATGTCCCTGGTCCTGCCCCACGACACCTATCCCGGTTTTAGCATCAAGAAATTTAGGACACATCCGGTCAAAGGGAATGGCACGTCGCACGGCGGTGCCAGGGGCGGAACTGGGGCAGGAAGTGCCGCTTATCACATGCTGGACAGTGACTACTCCAAGTACTTCACGGTGCTCGATGACGGAGTGGTGATGACCACGGCGGACATCTCCCCGCTGGTCAATCGTCCCGTTCAGCTGGTGGTGGTGGAGCAGACCCCCAACGCCACCAACACCCACAACCTGCAGCTGTTCGTGATGCACCGCAACGACATGCTGCGGTTCTCGGGCTCCCTGCTGGACGCCAGCGGCGAGGTGCGGGAGAACCATCCCGCCGGCACCCGGGTGCGCGGCGTGCCCCTGATGCAGGCCTTCTCGGGGTCCATTCTGGACGAGGAGCTGGCCAAGCCCAAGAAGGTGCGCTACACCATCATCGATGGCAATGTGGACGACGCCTTCGCCCTGCAGGAGCGCAAGGCCAATCAGAACGTCCAGCTGAATGCCAGGTCCCTGGTGATTGATGGCAACGACGAGTCCGGCGTCTGGCTGGTCACCAACCGTCCCCTGGACAGGGAGCTGCGCGCGCACTATGACCTCTCCGTGGAGGCCTCCGATGTGGACGGCCTGGACAAGACTGTGTCCAGGATACAAATCGCCGTGCTGGACGAGAACGACAACAGGCCCGTGTTCAAGTCGCAGGACTACAAGTTCGCCATCGCCGGCCAGAAGTCCTCCAGCATGGAGAGCAACAACAGCGTCACCTACCAGCGCTTCGCCATCCTGGGCAAGGTGGAGGCCACCGATGCCGACGGCGACAAGATTGCCTATCGCCTGCAGTCCCCCTCCAATGTGGTCATCATTGTCCCCCAAACGGGCGAAATAATGCTCGCGGGAGAGCCCAGCGCCAGCGAGCTGCTCATCGAAGTGGTGGCCCACGATCTGCGGTATCCCAGCCTCCTGAGCGCCCAGCCGGCCAAGGTCCTGCTGGAGTTCCTGGCCCCCGAGCCGGTGTCCTTCATCATGCAGCACCTGGAACACGACGAGGTCAATCTGCACTCGCATCATCGCGAGAAGCGGCGTGTGACCCGCGCCGTGCGACCCACCAAGCGGATCGAGTTCACCGAAGCCGACGGCGACACGGAGGGCAAGAGCGTTTTCCAGCTGGAGAAGGAGACCGACAAGGAGACCTTCAAGATACGCGACGACAATCCCTGGGTGACGGTGGAGACCAATGGAGCGGTGCGCGTCAAGAAGAAGTGGGACTACGAGGAGCTTGGACCAGAGAAAACCATCGATTTTTGGGTCATCATCACGAATATGGGACACAATGGTGAGTGTTTTATATGCTTTATATGCTTTGAGTTTAAGGTATGGTCGGGGGCCTCCTCCTCGTCATTATTTATCCCCAATTATTCGCCTGTTTTCCCATTAGGCATTCTCATAAATATTCCGCCGGAGCAGGCCAGATTGAAAGGCAATTAGCGAGTATTTACTGTATTTATTTGGGGGCACAGACTCACTCACACTCACACTCACACTCGCAAATTTGCTGCACATTTAAATATAATTATATGTGTCTCTCATACGATTATGGAGTGTCTGAAATATCAATGCGCCTGCATAATGAGCCCCTGACACAATGGCCACATTATGGAAATGTGTGAAAGATGAGACGACGAGAGGAGAGGAGGGGAGGGGAGAGGAGGGGACAGGACATAAGTGCCTTTCAGCATGGCCAATCCAAACAGAATCTAATTGAATTCGGATAGCAGTGTGGCCACGGAGGTCAATAAGTGGATGAAATATAGATGGGTCGTCTCCCAGGAAATGGCCAAGAACAGCTGCCGGCTTAATGAGCTTCCCAGAACTCTGGCGAGGCGTGTAAATATGATTGGAGCAATCGATTGATGGGAAATTCTAAGAAATTTCAAGGGGAAACCCAGTAAAAAATGGTGCCCATGGAACCCAATTAAATCGCAGGAGAATCTAGTCTCTCTCTATCCCTCTCTCTGCCCCAATATCCCCCTCTTTCGGGCTGTATAGGTTTTTGTTTTGAGACCATCTTTTGTTGCGATAAAATTGCAAATTGCTTTTCAAATATTTGGTTGTCATGGAAAGCAATTACACTTGAAACAAGAGCAACACACAGAAACAGATACAGAGATACAGAGAGAGTGGCCAGGCTCTGTGTGTGTGTACTTTTTTCAAGCACTGTACTTGGTCTGCCATTTCGAGCGTGGCTCGATAAGCAAATATTGAAGGACTCGAAATCCATTCAGGCATCAGCATGAGCAGCTGTAAAACGACTTAGGATTACACTGTCCGACAGTGGAGAGTGGATAAAAAACCCCAAAAACCACACAACCACCCCCGCACGGCCCCTCCCACCCTGCAGCACCCTCCCACTATCCCACTATCCATCTGGATACTGGATGCTGGATGTGTGCGCCCCCAAAAGTTTGACACGAGTCGAACAAAAAGTTGAACTGACGTGACAGCTCTGGGGTCTCCCAGGATGTCCATTCTGGTTTACATCCATGTGCCCAGGTCTCCGGCAGACCGGACAACTTCATGAAATGTTGAAATATATTCAGGACCCGCACATAGACAGGCACCCACCGATGGCCACACAGATACACCTTCCCACACACACACACACACACAGATACTTGTTTCATTTAAATCAACGTCTGGCACAAAACTGAAAATAAAACACTTTTTCCTCTGCAGTTTTTCCGCATTGCTCTCCCGCTAATTGTTGAGGCCGTTGACGGGTGCTCCAATGGATTCGTATGGGATATGGGGCATGGCTGGCCAAAGGGATTGTATGGTTTCCCGAATGGGATTTCGCATGTGTGTGTGTGGGATTGATGGGATGGGATGGGATTGGATTGGGAGTAGCCCCCGCCCAGCCCCCTTTTGGACAGTTCATCTGTCAGTCAATTAACAGTTTCCATAAATGTTGCAACTGCAAATGTCGCTCATTCTGTTGCCCCATCGTGGCCCCCCGTTTGGCCTCTTCTCACTCGTTTGGAGTGATTTTCATTTACATTGTTTGCTTGCCCCTACCCCCTGCCAGTTTGATTGCCTTGACACTTTTGGAAGCAGCTCTGGAAAACTTATTAAACATGTATTTGTTAAGTGCACCGGAGTGCTGGCTGCTCCAGGTCCTTGGGATTGTTGAAATGCAGGAAGGATGGAGATTCAAAGTAATATCGAATTAAGGGACAATATTTGTGGGAAAAGCCAATTCAAAGTTAAAGTTGTGCAAAGCCCATAAGAGTAATTAGAAGGTGTTTGCCTTGGTCATTGGGGAATCGAAAGGAAGGCATCAGGGAATCCAGGGAATTTCCTTTATCCTTCAATAAAGGAGTTCTGAGCATCATTATATATGAATCTTAAACTGGAAGAAGGCTCACAACCTCCTATCGATAGAGGATTATCCATCTATCAATCTCTCTGTCGAAATTTACTCATATTTGCGCTCGGTGCGACCGAAGCGGGAGCAGGCGAGTCGACGGAGAGAAGCGAGTGAGCCAGGGGTTGGCGCACGAGTGAAGCGTGTTCCATATAATGGTCCAGGCTATCCTAAGTATTCCGCATAGAATACCAGTAGAATAGGGAAGATATTCAAAGAGCCTTATGCTGACTTTTGAGGGGGTTTTCGGGTTCACGAAGATGTTGTCTTGTTGAAACAGAGTCTTCATTCATCTTCTATAAAGTTGTACGTATCATAATCAGTCCACAGATGCCTTTTTGCTGTTCAGTTTACCTTTAAAAATGTATTTTCTTTATTTCAAGACTACATTCTAGATCAAAAATCATAATTCTTCTCATAGAAACCTCCCTAACAAGATTACAAATATCATTCTACCTCCACTACTGCCCAACATGCTCAGGCTTTTCCCCATTCAGATAAGGAAAAACCATTCCACAAAACGAATGTCGCCGCTTCTTTCTTTCCATGAACTAACAAACAAACCACTTGATGACATCTCAGAAAATACTCATTACAGCACCCGATAGCCTCCACTTGAAGTGCAGTTTAGTGCTCGTATTTCAAGAGGGAAACCTAGAGACCCGGCCGTAGCCCAGGGAACATTTCATGCACAAATTGCTACGCTCTCTGCCTATCATCCTTGATCCTGGCAACTTGAGTTAATTTATGTATGTAGCCGTACGGTACGGCTCCTGGGGAGGAAGGACAGCCGAAGCCTGCTCACATGGGTCCGATAAGCATGGCCTCCCTGCCTTAAACGGTGAACGGGTGGGCAGGGGGAAAAACTGAAGGAAAAACCAAACTATGTAAAACACTTAACAAAGCATTGCACTTGCACGGCGGGGAAGGGAAGGGGCTAAGGGAAGGGGTACTGCAGCACAAGTGAAGAAGAAATTTACGACAATATTTTTCATTCATTTAAAATGCTACGCCAATACACATGACAGTTTGAGAGAAAGAGAGGGCTAGAGAGAGAGAGAGAGAAAGAGAGAGAGCGTACGCTGCAGAAATGCATGGAAATGAAACACAAATGTTATGGGAATGAAACGGAAAAGGAAACACATGAAATTTGAACAATTTGTTGGAGCATGCGCCTGGTGAGAGAGAGAGAGAGAGAGATTTGTGATGGAGAGATTGAGCGATTGCCTCGGCTAAGGGTTGGGTTCCTCAACGGACGCGTGCCAAGTCCAACAGGAAAACGCTCGTAACAATTAGAAGAATTCCCCCCCATCCCTCCCTCCTTACAGCAGCAGCAGTTTCAGGCCAAGAAACAGAGGAAGAGCATACGCACAATTTGTCCAGCAGAAAGCCAGAGAGACAGGGAGAGAGACGGCGAGAGAGAGAGAGGGGGAGTACAGGTGGCAGTAGTCCTGATTGAGTCGCTGGTCCTACGATGTACGATGTTTGTTTTAGAAATTTCCGAGCGCATTGTTTTACCCAAAAATGTATGCAAGGCTTTTGCCATCAAATAGCTCCGGCCGGAGTGGGTTTTTAGTGCATGCCAGCAGGGGTTGATGTTTCAGTGGGTGGCTTTGACATTCCTCCACACACACACACACACACACAGACACTACCCCCCGCCCTTAGCCACACACGAAAATCGGGCCAAGCGGCGGTAAAAGGGAAAAGGAAAAGGCATGAAATTTTATGCACTGCATGAAAAATGAAAAGTTGCACGCAAAAAAAGGAAACCACAAAACAAAACACGAATAAACAGTTCCCTGTGGGGAAGATAGGGGGAGAGGGATGGCAGGGGATTCTCAGGCCCTCCCCCCAGGGTCCTGCAGGGCCCTGCGTGTGGCGTGCTGGCAGAAGGAACTTAAAGATATGCGCCAGGTGACATTCTCCGCCCTTGTATTTCGTACAACTGCAATTGGCAACTTTTGTGCCGATAAGAATGAAGTTTTCCCAGGGAAATGCCCCAGAACGAGACATGAAAAAGTTTACAGAGGGACAAACGGACATGGCAGCCCATTCCTAAGAGAAGCGCGCAAGTGGCAACTCTTTTCAGGGTTGCCACTGCATACTTCGGGGCTGCAGGTAAGACAATGGCATCCCTGCACAAGCTCTAAGACGTGCCTTAATTATGAAAATCAAAACTTAAGTTTATTCCAAGGAAAAGTTTCCTTTACTTGCCGCGTACTTCCTTGCACTCTTGCTCGTAGCTCTCCCATAATCGAGTTGAGAGTCGCACACACATGGAGAGAAACTTGCTTAATTAAGCATTAATTTCACGTTTTATATGCATGTCGGCGGCGCCTAGACAAAGTAGGCGGGGTAGAGGGGCGCAGGCCGCCGTCAAAGACCGTTCTTGTAATGGCAATTATTTAAATTAGGTTTACGGCACAGCGAATGGCAGGCAGCTGTGTGTGTGTGGGCATCACTTATGCATGGGCTTTGTTCCAATTTAATTTTAATATAAATTATGAACATTTTACAACAATTATGGCAGTCATTCTATTGCGCAAATGTTCGGTCTAAAGATCAATCTCTGAGAGTGAGTTATCCCTCTACAAATACTTGCCCCTAATACACCTTCTAAATATATTCCTTATGCCACATTTCGTAGTGCACATCTGCGCCATGTTGCCAGCTTCAAAAGTGTTGTGGCCTAAATTCCAAGTGCCACAAATAGGGGGCGGGGCGGGGCGGGGCGAAAAAAGTTTTCCTCTATGCAGCGGCGTGGATGAGAGATGGTTAGGCTAAGATTTTCCAGTGTGACAGTCGGGGAGGGTTCGAGGCTTCGTTTCGAGTTAAATACATTTCACGTTATCCGCAACAAGGTTTGGCAGGGCCTGTCCCAGATACACATTTTGACAGTCAATGGGATT